CCCATGAATGATAGCATAGTATACACAATTCTTGTTACTTTGCTTTACTCACTAACTGTATCTTGGGGACACTTCCAGTCAGTATATATAGAGAAGTTTCATCCTTATTAATGCTTGTTTGCTATACTGCGTATTAGCTGTATTATTTTAAAATACTCAGCTCTGCTATAGAAAATAAGAGAAACAAAGGAGGCTACGTGAAATTAAATAGAGAAGTAAGTAGTTGTGAAACGTTATGATGGGTGTAGATAAAGTATATTGAGCATATGAGTGTTAAACATAGGGAGGAACAGAAGGGCCAAATAGATATTAAGCATTAGTAAGACACAATTGAAGCACTTGATATTGTTGAGGTCTTAAATGGGTCTTAACTGGGTGACACCCACTTTATCTTTTGGGTCTTCTACTCGAGAAACATAAATAAAATTCAGAGTAGATTATCAGGCAAATTGATGAGCTATAGTTGTGGTCAGGCATCCATGTCCCTCTGCATCTCTCTGGTTAGAGCAAGTGCATGTCATTGGCCCAGTGTATCTTCTATATGTTGATCCCTTTGGACAGACCTCAACTTTGGTTAGCAAAATTACATAATCAGTGGAGAATGTTGATACAGTACAGAGGGAAAGAGGATATATGATTTTGCATAACTCAGGTAGTAAGATCCTTCTACCCCTCTTGTATCTTATCCAAAGTGAGTTGCCCATATCTTCTCCCTGCTTTTTGTTGTGTATTTAAGTTGATTTAATAAGGCATGTGCCTTAAGCATCTTTATTTGGTGTGTGAGCCATTCTATTCCATGACTTCTGGGATAGCTTGCTGGGTAGTGAACTTAGAGGCTACTATTATATTAATTTTCACTAATAATTGATAATAGTGGATTCCTGGGCAGTAACAAATGGCATTAATATTGGTCTGCAAATTGGCAGACTAGTATCTGGAAAATTCATGGCAATATAGGTTACAGAAATATAGCAATGGTTAGAAAAAACAAAATACAAATAATAATAGCTTTATGTACAATCCAATAATGGCTCCAAAATGTGAGCCATTTCAGTGAATCCATCATGGGAGAAATCAAATTAACAGAGCAGATAAACTTGGGGAATTATGGCAAGTAGGTTATATAGGCCCACTTCTATGAAATAATACACAGGAATATTGCCTCCCAGTGGTAGATATAAATTCAAGATTAGGATTTATCTTTCCTTTCAGAATAAAGATGCCAGAGCACTGGTCCAGGATTAAAGCTGTTATTTTTCATTAGTAATTCCTGCATAAAAAGTGAGTAAAAAACATATCTTATGCCATGGCCAATGTGGCTCAGTTGGTTGATGGTCATCCTGTGCACTGAAAGGTTCCCATTTCAATTCTGGGTCAGGGCACATGCCCAGGTTGTAGGTTTGGTCCCTGGTCAGGGTGTAGCAGGAGGCAACCAATTGATGTTTCTCTTTCACATCAATGTTTCTCTCTCTAAAAAATTAATACAAATAAAAAAACCACGTATCTCACAGCTACAGTAATACAAAATAGTAAAAATATGCAAAATTGATAGAAATTTTACTCCCTTACAACATTATGATAATGAGAAACCTAGAAGATTTAATGCCTTATTTAAAAAGTGAATTAGATGAAGTTTCCTCCAGCAATTTAGCCTATAGAGATAAAGAAGTTCAAATTTTAAATGATCTGAGAAAAGAAATAAGGGTGAAGGGGGAAAACTTCTTTAGGTGTACTAATCTTCAAAGTAAGCCCCTTTTGTAGGACTACACCAAACTTAAGACTGTACATCAAAGGACACAATTAACAGAATGAAAAGACAAGCTATGGAATGGGAGAAAATACTTGCAAATCATGTAACTGATATGATAATATCCAGAATATAGTAAAAACTCCTGCAACTCAACTACAGCAACAAAATAACCCAATTAAAAAATGAACAGTGGACTTGCACATGAAAAGATGCTCAACATCAGTAATCACTAGAAAAAAGCAAACCAAAACCACAATGATATAGCATTTCACAACCATTATGATGACTGCTAAAAAAAAACCACACCCCTGAAAATATTAAGTATTGGTGGGTATGTGGAGAAATTGGAAGGCATTCCTGTGTATTGTTGGTGGGAATGTAAAATGGTGCAACCTACATGACCTACCCTAAAAGAATGGTTAAAGCAAGTTCTCTGAACAAAAAGAAATTGATAAAAGAAGGGACCTTGGAACATAAGGGAGGAAAAAAGAGAACATGATAAGAAAAATATTGGTAAATATGATAGAGTTTCTCCTATTTGGCTTTCTAAATTTTTTGATGAATCACTTTCTGATTTGGTTCCAAATGTATATAGTGGAACTAGTTAAGATAATTATAAGTGGATAGGGTAAGGGGAAAACAGGAACTAAGATTTCTACACATCACTTAAACTAGCAAAATCACACCACTAGATTGTCATAAATTTTACATAAATAATGCAACATCTAGAGCAACCACTAGAAAAAACTTCAAAGTAATACACTCAAAAACTCTGTAGATAAAGGTGGAATTGTAAAAAAGTTTTGAGTGATGCACAGGAAGCCAGAAAAATAAAACAGAGAAATGAAAACCAGAGAACAAACAGAAGCAAAAAAAGGTAGACATAATATTAACATATAAATAACTACATTAAATATAAGTAGCCTAAATACAGAAATTAAAAGACAGAATTGGTATACTGGATTAAAAACATGACCCAAGATATCCTGTCATTAAGACACTTACTTGAAATAAAACAACATAGGTAGGTTGAAAGTAAAAGTATGGGTAAAATATATAACATAAACATTAACTATTAAACACAGAAGTAGCTATATTAATGCCAGATAAAGTAGATTTTAGAGCAAAGAAAATTACTTCAGACAGAGGGATATTATGTAGTGATAAAAGAGTCAGTCCAACAAGACTCCAGAGTAATCCTAACATGTTTGCACCAAACAAGGAAGTTGCAAAATGTTTGAAGCAAACACTGATAGGACTTTTTCAGTTTTAGGCAAACCCACAGTTATAGTTGCATATATATCAACATCTTCAACGACTGATAGGACAATTAGATAGAATATTAGTGAGAATACAGAAGAATTTAACACCATTGATCAACTGGTTGTTGTTGTTTTTTTAAAAAGTTGTCACCAGAGGATATTTTTTCCATTGCTTTTGAGAATGAAAGGGAGGTAGAGAGAGGGAGAAAGAGAAACTTCGTTGTGAGAGAGAGACACAGATAGGTCTCCTCCCACAGGACCCTGGTGGGGATGGAGCCTGCAGCGGGGATGAAGCCTGCAACCAAGTTACGTGCCCTTGGCTGGAATCGAACCTGGGACCCTTTAGTCCACAGGCTGACACTCTAACCACTGAGCAAAACCAACTAGGGTGACCAACAGGTTTTAAATCACACACACTCCATCCAACAACAGCAGAATATCAATCTTTTTAAGTATCCAAGACAGACCATATCCTAAATGATAAAACAAAGTTCAACAAATTTAAAACAATTCAAATCCTACAGAAATATGTTTACCAACTACAATGGAATCTTATAAAAAATTTGTAATAGAAAGATAAGAAGAAAATTACTAAATACCAAAACCACACATTCCTAAATAATTCATAGGCCAAAGAAAAGTCTCAAGAAAAGTAAAAGAAATACATTGCAATGAATGGAAATGAATATACAACATATCAAAATTTGGAGGACATAGTTAAAGCAGTGTTAAAAGAAGACATATCAATAAATGCGTATATTGGAAAGAAGAAAAGTCTCAAAACAATAATTTAAGCTTTTAACCCAGAAACCTAGACAACTTTGGAAAAGAAGAGCAAAATAAAACACAAGCAAGCAGAAGAAAGGAAATAATAAAGAACAGAAATAAATTAAATTGAAAACAAATTTAATGGAGAAAGTCAATGATGCAAAGATCTGCTTACTTGAAAAGATCATAAAATCTACAAACCTCTAGCAAGGCTGAAGAAGAATAAAAAAGAGAAGACACATTTACAGTATCAGACATGAAACAGTGGATATAATTCTAAACCTTTTAGACATCAAAAAGAAATTAAGAGAGTCCTATGAACAACTTCACACACATAAATATGACAACTCAAATGAAATGGACCAATTCCTCCAAAAACACAAATTTCTACAACTCTGTATGAAATAGTCCCAGAACTTCGAAGAAAACTGGATTTTTAAATATGATTTTATTGATTTTTAGAGAGAGAGGAAAGAAGAGGGAGAGAGGGAGAAACATCGATTGGCTGCCTCCTGCACGCTCCCCGCTGGGGATCAAACCAGTAACCCAAGCATGTGCACTGACCAGGAATCCAAACAGCGACCTTCTGGTGCACAAGATGATGCTCAACCAACTGAGCCACACTGTCCAGGAAAGAAAACTGGATTTTTTAACTTAAAAAATCTCCCCTCAAATCTCCCGGCCCAGACAGATTCACTGGAGAATACTACCAAGCATTTAAAGAATTAACACTGATTCTATACAGTCTCTTCCAAAAAAAACAGTAAAAGAGGGAATACTCACCAATTCATTTTATGAAGTTAGTATTACCCTCATAGGGAAACCCTTGCAGACCTAACCTTCAGGTGGGCTCCCATGGACCCCGCTTCTGCCCCACCTCAGGTCCAGGCCAGCTCCTATAGACCCAGGCTCTCTATTTGCCCCAGTGCTGGGCTGGGCCCCATGGTCCCAGACTCCAGATTAGCTCCTGGGACTGAAGCTCCCAGGCTGCCCCAGCCTCCAGGCTGGCTTTTATAGACCTAGGCACATGTCCTAGCCCAGGAACAGACTGGATAATAATAATAATGATAACAATAATAATAATATAAATAACAAGTGTTGGTGAAGATATGGAGAAAAAGGAACACTTGCACACTGTTGGTGGGAACGTAAATTGGTACAGCTATTACCAATTTGGAGTATGGAGATTCTTCCCAAAATTAAAAATAGAATTATTATAGATGATTCAGCTATTTCACTTCTGGGTATATATCAGAAGGAAATGAAATCAGTATCTGAAAGAAATAATCTGCACTCACATTTATTGTAGCATTTCCACAATAGCCAAGATATGGAAACAACCTAAATGCCCGTCGAAAGATGAATAGATAAAGAAGACGTGGTGCATATACACAATGGAATATTATTCAGCCACGAGAAAGAAGGAAGTCCTGAGATTAGTGACAACATGGATGAAACTTGAGGATATTATGCTAAATGAAATAAGTCAGAAAGAGAAACACAGTTACTGTATCATCTTATTTATATGTGAAATCCAAAAAAAAAAAGTATAGAGCAAGGCATACCAGGGGCTGGAGGGGGAAAAGGTGGGCAGATGTAGGTAAAACTAACAAATTTGCAGTTATGTAGGATGAATGTCTAGAGATCTTAATGTACAAGCATGATGACTATACTTAATAGTACTGTTTTGAACACTGGAAATATGCTAAGAGAGTAGATTTCTGGTGCACTCATCACAAAAATAAATGGCAACTGTGTGAGATGATATGTCAACTAGCCTGACCATAGAAGTCATTTTACTATACATACGTATGTCAAATCATTATGTTTTATATCTTAAACATATACAATTTTTATTTTAAAATGCCGCATTAAAAAACTTGTAAGATACAGTTTCAACAGTATTTGGAGAGGATATTTATAGACTAAATGCTTTTATAAAACTAGAAGAATTATTGAAAAGTATAAGCTAAATGTCAACTTAATAAGTTCAAAGAAGAAAAACAGAATAAAGCAGAAGTAAGTAGAAGGAAGGACAAATAAAGATAAGAGCAGAAATCTTTAACATGGAAAACAAAGTTATAAGAGAATCAAAGAATTCCAAAATTTGTTCATGATAAAGAGTAATAAATTTACACACCTGTGGAGTGACCAAGAAATAAAAAAGATGGCACAAATAATATCAGATGCTGTAAATTTGAAGACTGAAGTGAACTGAACAAATTCCTTGAAAAATGTACTTACCAAAACTAACTCAAGAAGAAATGGAAAGAGTCCCACTTCCCAGTGTGATGTTGTAGTTTCCAGCAGGCCACCAACACTTCTACTATAACAACTAGTAAAAAAATCAGATAAATTACAAAACATATTTTTGAAGTTATCACAGAGTTATAGATGGACTTGATGACAAAGACTGGTTGAATTAAGATTCCAGAGAGGGAAGATCCCTTCCTAGGTAAACTTTGGGGCATTTGCTAATTCTGGGCAGGGGTTGGGGACTAGTCTTGTCTTGCTGGGAAACCAATAGGGCTTTTCATAGTCGCATGGGTGGATGTGATGAATTGGAATCTAAAAGTACTCCAGAATCTTTAACTATCATGGAAATGCAAAGTAAGGGATCTTCCCTCTTTGGAATCTTAATTCAACCAGTCTTTGTCATCTGATTTTGTTCAGTTCACTTCAGTCTTCAAATTTACAGTGAGATAATATGACATACCTAGCAGAATGGCTAAAAATAAAGTCTGACAATACCAAATGGTGGTGAGGTAGAGTCAATGGAACACTCGTACATTGCTGGTGGAAATATAAACTGTTTTAGCCACTTTGGGAAACTATTTGGCAATTTTAATAAGTGTGCCAGTAACAAGAGAAACATAATGTAGGATTCCATTTATATGAAGCACAATAACAGGCAAATTAATCTATTGTAGAATTCAGTGGTTACCTTTTGGCAGGGCAATATTTTCTGGGAAGTGGCACAAAAAACATTTTGTGAAAATGAATAAAAGAAACCTCATTCAACATGGATCTGGGAAGCCATGAAGGGAGAGCTCTGTCTTTCCTTGCTTGTCTCAGGAATTGCAACTGCCTTTCACTTGCTGCCAATAAGAACCACAACCTTGTACACATCTCCCCCCACCCCCTGCCCATGTGCTCCTGTTAAAACAACCCTTCCCAGTATCCTCCAATACCCCTCTCCCAAACTGACCTCCCTTTTGCTTTTTGTACTTGCCTATGATCTGCCATAGTTTGCATGTTCCTAATTGCAATTCCTCTGCTATTCCCAAATCAACTCATTTGCTGCTCGATAACTTCTGTTGTTTAATTTTTAAGATTGATAATTTTATATCTTGATCTAGTTAGTGGTTACACCGATGAATACATAAAAATTTCATAGAGCTGTACCTTAAGATTTCTTCATTTCACATAAATTATACTTCATGTAAAAAGCCAATGACATCTCCAAAATGCATGGTAAAATAAACATGAATAAGATAAAAGAGGTACATGATCTCATATACAGAATCTAAGGAACAGAATAAATTGACTAACAAGATAGGACCACAGACATGGAAGCATGAAACAGACTGTCAGATCTCAGAGGGAAAGTAGGAAGGAGGGCGGGAAGAGATTAACCAAAGAATTTATAAGCATATATGCATAGTCCATGGACACAGACAATAGACAGGTGAAGGCCTGGGGGTGGGGTGGGGATGGAGGAGAGCAAAAGGGTTTGGGAAATGGGGGACATCTGTAATACTCTCAACAATAAGTTATTTTAAAAAGGTAGTTGCATAGAAAAAGTAATGGTATGTTACCAATCAAGGATAGTGATTAATTCAATTATGGCACCTGAGGTCCAAATGTTACACTAGAGATTTATTTTGCAGCCTCAACCACGGGATCAGCTTTTAGTTTTACATGATACTGTTGATTCATACTGGTTTTATAGTCGTCTAAAACCCAATCCCACTGTCATGTAGGAACTCTGCTATGTGAGTCATTTTCGTGTGCCCATCTGCTAAGTCTCATCTACTCCACCCTATAAAATACAGCTGACGTCTGTCGCACCCACACTATTGTAATGCCGGAGGCAGGGGGCGCCCCGATCATTCTGTTGCCAGCTGTGTTCAGGCTCCTGAATCCTCCCCCCTGTAGTTCTCATGCCCCATCTCCTGCTCCACCCTACCAGTATGCTTCTCCGGGGGCGTTTCCCTGGCTTCCAGGAACAGTTTTATAAATTCAGCCCTTGTCTCCTAAGTGATACCTCAACAATCAGATTATGAGACTGAGTGTTGATTTAGATGGATTATTTGATTCACGTATGAGCTGCGTACCATATACATGTGAAAACATAAAGCCAAGGTGAACGGGGAGCTGGGCCTGGATGTTTGGTCGGGAATGTGAACAAATGAAAAAGGAATAGCTTTTGACTATTTTCTCTACCGGATTATGGACCTTTTCTATTTTTTTTAAATTAAATTTATTAGGATGACATTGGTTAATAACATCATATAAGTTTCAAGTGTACAATTCTATGATACATCATGTGTATATTGCATGGTGTGCTCACCACCCGAAGTCTAGTCTCCTTTCGTCATCCTGTATTTGACCCCCTTTCCCCTCTCTACCCTCCCCCAGCCCCGTTCCCCTCTGGTAACCACCAGACTGTTGTCTGTGTCTACGATCTTTAAGTCATGATTGAACAGCTTGCACTTTCACACTGCTTCCCCTAAAGCCTTCATCAGAGTCTTGATAGCTGTGCCTTTCGATAACTTACTTTTAAAAAGTTGTTGCGGATGCCACTCGGGGAGGATATAAACTACAGCAGTGATTTTCAACCAGTGTGCCAAAAGAATTTTTAAAACATGCAATAATGACTTTTTAGTCAGGGGCGCTGACCTCTTTTCTCTTAGATTATCAAATTTAAAAAAATGACAACAGCCAACACAACAATAGCTGTCTGGTGTGAACAAGTCAAAACTACACCTATGCTTTTTTCGTGTGCCGCAGAACTTTAGTAAGTAGTTCATGAGATGAAAAAGGTTGAAAATTGCTGCACCAGAGGAATTAGGGCTAACTTCTATGTTTTCCACATTCACACTACTGTTCAGAGGTACTTCACATATTAGTGATTCCTTTATACCCTCCCTTGTTCCAAATCGGCTTTTAGATAATTCAGAAAGTTATGCAGGATCACATATATGAGAAAACCCTTGGGTAAAGAAATCAGGGAGAAGGCTAATTGGGGAAGACAGAAGGCAGGAAAAAAAATGGAGTAAAGTTAGTGCCTAAAATAACTTTTCAGTTCTATATACTTTACTAGAAGTGGCCTGAAGTTTTGGTTCTGAGCTTCTCTCAGCAACCAGGATGAAAAAGGAAACAGTTTGTTACAAGATAGAACCCACATACATGTATTAACTGTAGGGTTAACTGCAGGGTTTGTCAGCTTTTCTAAAGAGAGTTGAATATCAGGCCTTTAGTTGGAAATGTAATCCTTCACCCCTTTGTCCCCTACTTTGGAGGAAATCAGACATAAAAACCTAGGATATTTAACAGGAACATATAGCTGCCATAAGTTCAAGGACTTCTCTTAGCAAGTTGTCTCTCTCTCATTGTCTCTCTGTCTCTGGTCTGTCTCTCTATATCACCTGACACTAAATATCTAAGAATTGGTGGTGAGGGAGTTTCATTTTCCGGCCGCTGCCTACTTCTTAGAATAGATGTGGAAAATATCTTTGATTAATATAAAGCACATCTTTAAATTTTCATTATATGTTCTTTCTGAAGATGCTAATGCCTTGGAGGACTTCATCAATAAAAGTGCCTTTAGTTTACAATTGCATTTTTTGTGAAATGTTATTACTCATTTTCAACTAATATAAAGCTGACTCCCGTCACAGCAATGAAATCTAGAATGTCTAGGCTTAAATATCATTTTTGGTTTGGGGGTGTATTTCAGTTTTCTACTTGAAAAGTAGATTCCTTCCCATTCAATAAATGCTGCTATAGATAATAATAATATTAATAATAGATATTGTACTTACCCAGATTGCCTTGCAAATTTCTTCTACATAAATGAGAGGAAAACCACGTATTTCAGTGCAGAAGATATCTAATGTCTGTGCTTTCTTCCGCCTCCGATGTCAGAGAAAGACATCCTTCCTTTCAGTTTTCATGAACATTTATATGTCCTCTGCTTCTACCTCAGTCCGGGCTCTAACTGGCTCAGGAACCATAGGGTGTGTCTCAGGAACGGGTGTGTGGAAACTGGCAGGTTGGGGAAGGGCGCCATGGTCTGCTTTTAGTTTCGTTTCCCTGGATCTGAGTTTATAGAAGTGACTTTGCTCTGTAATAGGACTTTTTTGTTGTGGTGGTTAGCCGTTAGTCTGCCACCTCCTGGTCTGTTTTGTTAAAATCCCAAGATATCAAATCTGTTCTTTGCTTGAGAGTTTTGGGGACTGCTGAGCGCCCTGTTGTCTTGGCTACAGAAAAACTCTGGGACAGCCTGAATGGATCTTCCGGGAATACCCGTTTTCATTGTTGGGGGACTTGTGGAGCTCTGGGTAGGAAACAGCTTAGGTTGATTTTTTCCCCTGGCCTTCTAGGGTGGGTTAATCATCCTTAAGTTTTCCTAGAGCATAAAGGAATAGCTTCCAGAGACTCTTTTGAGCTCTCTATAAATACTAAAGGCCTCTGAATTAGTTCCACAGGGCAGGGGTTAGGGGCCCCCCATGGCCACTTTTCAGAGATTTATCTTTTTAAGGTCAGTCTCAGGGCTGGATAGAGAACTGCCTAAGAGCCACACAAATAGTTAACATTAAAAAAATTAATAGCAGGTGCTAACACTTATTGTGTCTGCTCAATTAGCTTTTGGTTTCTACATTCCACTGTTGAATCACACCGGATTTTATACGGGCTTTAAACATTTATTGGGCACTTACTATGTACCATGCACTGTTAACTTACTTCCTCCTTGCAAAAATCCTCTGAGGCAGAAGCTATTTTTATCTCCATTTTACAGCTGAAGAAACTGAGGCACAGAGATGTTAAATAATGTGACTCACTCTATATATAGTTTAAATATTTATATATCTATATAAACATATATAGATACATATATATGTATACACACATATGTCTATATTTATTTACATGCTATTGGTTCTGTTTCCCTGGAGAACTCTGACTAATACACCCAGGGCACAAGTGGCTTGACAAACCAGAATAACCCACATTCCAATCTAGGCATAAAACATTTCTGTATGGCATGTCCCTCTCCAGTCACTCCTAACATCCTCCAGAGGAAACCATTCTTCTGGCTTTTTCCCCCACCATAGATTTAGTTTTATATGCTCCAGGTATTCATATACATGGGATCATATAGAATATACTCTTCTGTGACTGGCTTCTTTTATTCAACATAACGTAATTGAGACTGGTCCTAGTGTTGCATGTATCAGTAGTTCTTTTTTATTGTCCAATAGTATTCTGTTTTGTCAATATAACACAATTTATTTATCCAATTTCCTTTAAATAGACATTCGAATAATTTTGGTTTTTGGAAGTCATGAATAAAGCTGCTATGACTATTTTTGTACAAGTCTTTTTGTCGATATGTGTTTTTACTTCTCTTTGGTAAAAACCTTGACATGGAATTGCTGGATCAAATAGATGTGTGTTTAACTTTATAAAAAACTGTCAGGTCCTTGCTAAAATTTGTACCAGAAGCAGTACTCTTTAAGGTATGCTGAATCTCTGTGTCAGGCCACTGTATAAGTCAAAATGAAATAAGGAACTGGTGTCATCTCACCTGCTAGTATAGGAATAAAGAAATAATGATATTCAGCACATCAGTAGCAAGTGTCTGAGGCTGCCAGGCATCACAATTTACCCCACCCCCGAACCTAGAAGTAACTGGTGATTTCGTATCATCAGTACCCATAATACCTGGCCTGTCTCACCACCTTAAGAATGGTCAGATGTGGTACCCACTGGCAAATGTTTATATTTTTACACTATCTGTAATGAGCATCATTTCAGAACTCCCAAGATGCTCCAGCAAAACAAATCTGCTTTATACACATTGAGTGGGCAGTTAGAAACTTAATACAGTTGATTGGAAGAACAAGATAAAGTGACATTATGAGGGTAACATATGGATATTGTATTTTACCAGGCAGACTTTGTTCCTTTTCAGACAATTGAGATACCTTTTAAGTAATAGCAGACCACATGGATATTTCCTGTTAACTCTCTAGCTATTACTAATTTTTCTTTCTAGAAGGACCCATATATCATATACCATGCATGACTCACTTTGAATGATATTTTCCATTTTTCTAAGACTGTAAGAACAAGTTGAATCTTCCTGTGGCTATTTATACTCAATACACAGCTTCAGATTTTGTTTTTTTTTGTTTTTTAAAATATGTCTTTATTGGTTTCAGAGAGAGGAAAGGAGAGGGAGAGAGAGAGATAGAAACATCAATGATGAGAGAGTCATTGATCAGCTGCAGCCCGCAACCCGGCATGTGCCCTGACCGGAAATCGAACCCTGATCGCCTGGATCCTAGGTCAATGCTTAACCGCTGAGCCACGCCCGGCCGGGCACAGCTTCAGATTTTGAACACATGAGGCTCCTTGAAGAGTTGACTCCCTTCAGGAACTGGCTTGTGCCCTAGGAGCGTGAGATACAACATTGTCAGAGTCTCTATTCTACATAATGTTGACAAAAAGAAAAGATTGGTTAGACTCAGGGATGTGGGTATGCTTTATTTACCCAAGGGTTACTCAGCTTCAAGCAGACCTTTGACCTTTGACTTCTCTTTAAAAATTTCTCCCTTCCTTATTGCTACATTTCTCTTAGTTAAGAGTCTATTTGGTAACTTTAAGTACTATTCACATGATTATAAATCCCACATTGGATGTGTATTTCATATCATTGGTATTTCCAAACTAATATACCAGTTATCCCTTCAGGGAAATACTGAGCTTAATGTACATTTAATTTTCTCTAATCTAGTCTCTTTGTTTATCTAGTCATATGTTTTGATGAAATGTTTAAAGCATTGTTAATACGGGAAAATAGAATGATTGCTCTCCAAGGGATTTGGTGATGAGATGGGTCTGTATTTATCCACCCCTGACGAGATATTGTAAGGTGGCTTCATAGTGGTCAGTAGAAGTCAACCATGTTTAAAATATTCTTCCTCTTAAATCACTCATGCATATTTGATTCTCAGGAATAATATTTTCTCTCTCAAATAAGAATGAAAAAAATAAACATTTCAAATTGTTTGAAGAAACATCCAGAGTGTAATTTTTTTTTTCCAGTTTTTACTTAATTCGGGCATGAGTATGAACTAAAAAAACTATGAGTATGTTTTGTTTCATTTTGTTTTCATCTAACTGTTTTGTTCCCTGTTACCAATGTGATAATTAATTTTTTAACTATTGAAGAAATATTGTTTTTGTTTAAACTCATAAAAATTGATGTAATACAACATACCTACATATGAGGATGAGTGTTGGAAAAGGGATAAACAATATAATGTGAGAAAACTAAGGTTGTGTGGTTAGGGGAAGGGGCTTGAATTAGAGTATCAGTAAGTAAGTTCCTTTAACCAAAGACTGAATTGGAGCTACACTGATAGCTAGTGTTTAAATTCAAGAAGGCCTAAGCAAAGCTGGTAAAATACACCCTTCTTAGATCAATAAAACAATATTTACTTAGTACTTTATAAAAGTAAATAGCCTTAGTTACTGGATAAACAAAATGTGGTCTATCGGTACATGAAATTTTATTTGACAATTAAAAAGAATCACGTATTCATACATGATACTATATGGGTGGACCTTGAAAACATTATACAAAGTGAAAAAAGCCATTCACAAAGATTACATATTGTATGACTCCATTATATAAATGCCCAGAATAGGCAGAGTGTTCTAAAATTGGTTGTGCTGATGGTGCTGATGATATACTAACAAACATTGAATTGTATACTTTTTTTTTTTAATATATCTACATTGATTTCAGAGAGAGGAAGGGAGAGGGAGAGAGAAAGAAACATCAATGATGAGAGGGTCGTCATTGATCGGCTTCCTCCTGATTGCCCCCGACTGGGGATCGAGCTGGCAACCCGGGCATGTGCCCTGATCAGGAATTGAACCGTGATCTCCTGGATCCTAGGTCAAAGCTCAACCACTGAGCCACACCTGGCTGGGAGAATTGTATACTTTAAATGGGAGAACTTTATGGTATTTGAGTTATCTCAAGAAAGATGTTTACATTGCCTCCTAGTAAGAGCCTGCTAAGTGGCCGACATGTAACTTATGATATCTAGTTTAATCCTCATCAGATGCCTGCAAACTAAGTCTATTTTCCTCATCTTACAAATGAGAAAACCAGGGTTCTAATTTACCTGTGTATACTAACTCAATGAAGGACTGTCACAGTTAGGCTTGCATTGTAAGCCTGTTTATTTTCTAAGTATGAACTTTTCCCACTGGCTGTCTTGATTCAACCTGTTTCCAAATAAGACCTCCTTGGGTAACCATTTGTTGTGCTGTTATCAGTTGTGAGTTAATTTACCTGTGTGGATAGAGCTAGTGCTTTGCTGAGTAGGTGGAGCCCTGGATAGGCTACAGATAACCAGGGGGCACTGAGTCCTCATGAGTAGGGAGTTGAGGAAAGGGGTGGTAGAATTAACACGTAGTGTTACAAATACTCAGTCCAACAATTTCGGTTTTTACTTTGTTTTCTCCAATGGCAATTCAGACAAAAAAAAAAAGAGAGAAAAGGGAGAAAAGAATCAGTTAAAAATTATTGTTTTTATTTTCAATGGACTTCCCTGAGCAGAAATTGGACCCCAATATTTTGAAATATAGATGGTGGGAATGGTATAAACTGGAATTTAAGGCTACATTTTCTTGCAGGTAAAACATGAATTCACCTTTGAAGAAAGACTAAGCATTTATTTTGGGAAAAGCATTTTAATGGGCTCTTTGATTCTAGAAGAGTAAAGCACAGAATCTCTTCTGAAATGGGGAGTTGAACTTCTCTGCATAAGAATGTAAAACCTTGTCCTCATTGTGGGTGGAGTGACATCTCTGCATTTTATATTTCTTTTCAGAAAAGACATAATTCTCTCTGGGATCTTAGAGGGTTTGTAGCCTAAGCTCTGAGACTAAGATTCATATTTAGGGTTTGTCTCATCTGGGAGAGCTGAGCAAAGGCTACCTACAACATAGCTATTGAAAGGAGTGCTGAGGAGAGGGAAGCCCCTTGAAAAACCTTGTGTAGAAGCTGGGCTTATAAACTCTTAAGGATAGTCATGGATAACAGGAACATATAACAGTTTTTCTTCTATTATAACTTTTTCCCTCTTGTGAAGCCTTTAATTAAGTATAGCTAAATACTGTAGCCCAGTCTTAGCTGAGCTATGAAGAATTAGGGACTGGCCTATGAGCACTTCAGGGACTATAGCCACTTGGGAGAGCCTGCTACCAGATGAACAGGTGGACTGTAGAAAGGGGAAGCAGCAGTTTGGGGCAGGATCAGCAGCAGATGTGGCTTCTAGCAACAGGGTCGTGTTCATGGAGCATGTGAGAATTCCCCAGAGATCCATAGAAACTGGTGAAAAGAGCCCTGATGGGAAATAGACATCTTGATGACAAGAGGAATTGGGTTTGAAGCCTGCAATTTCTAAGTTACATTATACGGAGATATAAAGTAATGGATAAATAAATATATACATTTAAGTATTCAATTTAATCTATATTAGCATGTGTTTTACTTCTTAGGCAATTGATATCTCTTAAAACCCAAGTTCTAGAATGTTGTTCAAGGTTGTTTTGGCTGGTGTAAGACTAGGAACAAGCTTCTGGGGCGGCGTTCCTGGTGCTAGAAAGTTGAGAGCACATATTGCCATGAGGAAGTCATCTAATTGGGCAGGGGTTACAGTGGTCAGGGCAGACTTCCTGGTGGTTGGTTACTCAAATGAGTTGTGATGGAGAAATCAGAATAGCCATATCCTGAAAATGTTGGATGAAAATAAGGAACTATTTGACAGAGAGAACAGCATTCAAATAGCAAAGACTGAGAAGTAAAGAGAGTAGCAAATGAAAAAAGAAGGCAGGGAGATGGGGTCTAAAGAACAAGTGGAGATAAGACTATGTTGACAGGAGGCAAGAATGGAGAAAGAAACAGTTTCACCTGTAAATGGGAGCAAGAAGATGGACAGAGTTCAAGCCTGTGGCTACTTGGTTGTCTTATCTCGTTCCCCTCCCAAGCAATGAACTGAGAGAAGGGCAGGGAGTATAAGGAACTGTGTATGTGTGTGTGCGTGTGGAGGGGTAGGTGTGAATGGGAACAAAATGTGTACCTTCCACATACATTTTTATTGGTACCAAGATGGACAAGTGGCGCTCTGGTGTGGACCTCTGTGTTTGAGTTCAATAAACTAAGGAGGGGCTTTCTCTTCCGTATTTATCTTATTTAAATCTTGGCTTTCACAGTGAAGGGGTAACTCATCATTCAGAAAACGCATACGAGTGATAGAATCAAAACAGATTTTATTGACATAGAACCAGTAATGATGTGACCAGTAGATATCAATGGAAACTTCTTAATTAAGTATCTTAGTCTGAAAGCACATATTTAAAACATTGAACAATTGATTCTACTTGTGTGTAGACATGCTTAATGCTCTACAAAGGCTTATAATTTACTTGGGAGACAAAAGCAAAATCTGTGATTACAGGTAAGCTGCTAATGCCATGGGGATAGAGGGAATAAGGCCAGAGAGAAGTATGAATAAACATATTTGAGTTAATATATCCTGTTTAAATAACTTCTATATCATATGCTAGAGGGCCCTCAATGGAAAACCCTAGGTAGAAGGACACTCTGTCTATGTTGCCACCACTTCTGAGTGGACCTGAATAAACAGATGTCACGGGTATTTTTATTTTTTTCTCTGTTCCATATTCGATAGAGATTTTCTTGCCTTCGGCGAGACCAGTGAGACGACGCAAGAGGTCCTTGACTTCCCCTTTTTTCCACACATCTCCACTCTGCCAGAGGGAGTTTATATTTTGTACTTTAGTGAAGTACTGCTCTATCTCGGCCTTGTGCACCAGGCTGTTGAGACCCTTCCTCTTCCCCAGGTAGAAAAGTGTGCTTGCCTGCTTGGACCTACACATGCTCTTGTACTGTCTTTTGAAGGACCTATTTAAGGATGACACATATTTTTCCATTAGTTTAGCATCTTCATCTAGCTCTTCATTTTCTGGCCAGAACAGGAGGCAGGCCAAGAAATAAGGGTCTGGATATTGGTAACTTAGTTCTACGAATTGCAATACTTCTCGGAGATGTTTTTTAAGTATGGTAAGTGGCTGAATGGACTTGGAGTTGGGTTTTAGACAATTGAGAATAATGTTGGCCAAAATGAAATTTTGTTTCTCCTTTGCCAGCCGTTTATTTGGATTTTGCTGCAAGAGGAAAGTGTATTTATTCACTATATTTTCCATAATGGTTGCAGCCTCTTTGTGATTTGGATTAAGATATTCTAGAAGTCCAGAAAACCTGTCTGCTCTCAAAGCTTCTAGATCCTTCCTGCAGTTCTCCTCTTGGAGTAACTGACTCTCTTTGCTTTGTAATGGGCCCAAATCTACATGGCAGAAATGTTCCTTGTATTTACTGAAACAGCGACTAATTTTCTTGCTTAATAAGATTTCCGTTATTTCTTTTTGGGCATTCCTTGTTTTCAGAAAAACCATATAATCAGCAAAAAAGTCAAAGCACTTTTTCATATCTGATTGTAAATTTTGTAAGTAGGATATGAAGTTAGTAAGAGCCAAATAATATTCATTTTTTTGATTTGTAGGAATATTGCTCTTTCCTGATAAAAACTCTGCCATAGTTTTTTTAGTTGATTCATTTTCTTTGTGGAAACAGGGAGTGAGCTGAAGAATCTGAATAGTGTAAAGACCAACTTCTATTTCACCCAAGAAACCAGCTGTATTATACATGTCATATTTTCTTTGGGACTTCTGTAGTGACCAGGTCTCTGTTTCATAGTCTTTCCTATCAGTTTGCTCTTGGGATTTTTTGAAAGCTCTTGACGCATTTTCTGCAGCTTTTAGAAGATGTGTTAGATCATTAATTGTGATATCCCTACAGTTTCTGTTTTCATCCAACCACCATTTGATTTTACTTTTGTAGACCTGACCAAGTGTGTCTGAGATAAAGGAATTTTTAGGTGCTTTCTTTTGGGCCTGATTTGCCCAATCCAGAGCAATGTCAAAGTTCTTCTCTTTAATGTAGAAATGCCTTGCTAAGGCCTGACAAATAAATGCATTTTGTGGGAATCGAATAGTTCCTTCAGTCAAGACCCTTTCAACTTCATCATTCTGTAAAGCTTCAATTAACGGAGAAAACAAAGTGTCTGTTTCATCTCCATACTCTTTGCGTTGTCTTGTAAGCAGAAGAGTTTGTACATCATGTTGAAATTTGTCTCTCCCTATTCCAGAAACATAGAATAATTTCTCTTTTAATATCTTCAATGCAATTTGACACTTATCCAAGTGATAGCTTCTTTCCAGTTCTTTTAGACAGCAGTTGGCAATCAGAGGATGAATGATGCGTACACCTGAACATCCCCCATATTCTGTGACTTCTGTGTTTATTAGAAGTGCAGAATAGGTTCCCATCTTGTCTTCTAGGCTTTCAGGTTTCCAGGGAGTACTAATGCATGTGATTCCCAAAAATGTTTCACACTGTGACACTGAAATTGTAAAATCAGTAACATAAGAGTTGAGTAGAGCCAGGAAAGAAATGAGTTGTGCTTCCTTGCTGTCAATAGTCTGTCCTTTTAGGATATTCTTGACTACATTTTCTATATACATTTTATTAAAATTTTCTTTCATTATCATGAAGGAATAAAAGTTTTCACAGTTCTTGTGTTGCTTTTCAATTTCCTCCAGTTTGGCCTCAAATGCTCTTTGTTCCTTGGGAGAAAGTTGGTATTTTAGTGCAATACTATCTGCTAATTTTGCACTCTCATCAGGACTCTGAGATCTCATACAGTTTAAGATAATTACCAGTGTTTTTTCATATCTCAAACCCTTCTCTGCTAAAATGGAATGAATGGTATTCTGTAAAATGTAGACATTTTCCTGTTCTTCAAAATCATCCACTAGGAGAAGTACAGGAATGTAATCCTGATGGCTGGTTACTTTATAGGTAATCAACTTGGTTACTTGCTCTCCAATTTCTGCAAAATCAATTGCTTTGTTTTTTAACACAGCACACCTGAAGTCTTTCTTTAGGTCCCAGAGAACATTCATGGCCAATGTAGTACCCCCACAGCCTGCATGATGATAGAGATTGATAATTTTTACGAACGTTGGTTTAGGAGACTCTGCCCCACGCTGTATCAGATGTTTAAGGTTTTCATAATTGTCTCTTTTGACAAAGGCTTTAGAATAGTTTTCAGAAGAAAAATAGAAGTTCCACCAGGATACTTTGCCACCTCGATAAAAGTGCTCTTCTTTTACCTTCTTAAATTCTTGGAATTTAGATGTATTTTTCTCGATATCTGTGTCTTTACACTCATTTTCACAGAGAATTTCCAGTGCAGTCAAGATATCTTCTTCCTTTTTCTCTAGGATAATTGAAGATGATCCATGTGAGGGCAAAAACCTTTTTGATGACTGAGTGACTGGTTTTAGTTTAAGGATAGTACTGTTTATCAATTCTAAATTTAAAGTGGAAATACTGTGGTTTGTTAATTCATCTGATATTGTCAGTCTTGCTCGTAGTAGATCTTTCCACCGTTGATAAATCTGGGAGTTTACACAGATACACAATATACTTTCCATTCCATTGAGAACTTGGTAGAAAGCACTGAAGGTTTCAATGAGTGGGTCTCCTGAGCTTTCCACTGGAGAGAGCAATAGAAACACTACCAAAAGTTTCCCTCTTGTTATTAGATTTTCATCTGTAAGAAATAAAATCAGTTTCCTGACTTCAGAAGCTCGTTCTTTCTGCCATAAACCTGGTTCTAGAGGCTTATGTCTCTCATCTTTCAAGTCAGATCTGCCATTGCAGAAGATCCAGCTGGGCTGATCAAAAAGATTCAGGCTAGAAATTTTCTCCCTTAAAGTAGTTGTCTTTTCCTCATATTGTCTTGGAAAGTGAAGGTTTGCTACCCGGCTTCTTTTGTAAGCTTTGGCCACCCCCTTGCTCTCAGATTCAGGATCAAACTCCAACACAGCAAACCATTTAATTTCTTTTATAAAATCTAAGTGCTTTGTTTGGTTTGGATGGCACTTATTTGTTACAAGAATGTACCTGTTGTAGTATGAATTATCCAGTGACTCTCGGTTTCCTATGAGAAGTTTAACCAGCTTTTGTCCTTCATGCTCCTTCCTATTTGTCTTCACCTTATATTCTTCTTCAGCCTCTTTTCTAGATGCTACTAGTGACTTTAATTTTTTCAGAAATGCTTTGAAAGCCACATCCCGTTGCTTGACATTGGCCAGGATATCCTTAGAGCTAGCCCCATCCCTCACAAACAGTGAAGTGTCTTGGCTTTGTTTCCATGTTCCAGTTTCATAGTTTTGCAACTTAATGTAGAAATACTTTTCTTTACATACAGAGTGTTTTGGAATAATATCTACCTCAATGACAAATCTGTCAGATGGTGTACTGTTCTGCAGAAGGACTTCCACGAACCTTGGCTCCCGAATGCACTTCTTGGCTTCATTGATCTCGCTTTCTTCAAAATACTGTTTGATCATTGTATTGAAGTGGTCAATGAAGTCATTCTTATTGGTGACTTGTACACCAACAATTTCTCCATGGGGTTTGTCCATGACTCCAAAATGGATGGTGCCATTGGTGCGTGAATTCATACAAGCTGATGCGAATCTGAAGACTTCATTGCTAAATTTCATCCTAATGTCCTTTTCTGTGGCTGCTTCTGTATTTGTGAGGGCTTTGAACTCATGTATTGGGTCTATGAGATTGAGTGGTCCTGTTTCAGGTTGTATAAGATAATGTTCTATGTAACGATGGCAGCTGTGGAACTGATCAAAAGGATATGGCATACACGTCAACTGCTCGATTTTTAGCTTATTTTTTTTGTCTTGAGTGGTCACTACTTCATTTAATGCATTTTCTTTCATAAGAACTGATTCTTGTTCTTTGGTATTTCTGGTCTCTCTGAGATTATCATCAATCTTGGATGACATTGGTTGTTCCTCTTCTTTTTTTATCCGTTGTGGCTTTTTTTGGTGTTCTTTTTTGGAGGGTTTTGTGTGATTTAATTGTCCAGAATCCTGATTGTGATTTTCAGGGAGACTATTATTCAATCTGTCATACGCACGTTTTATCAAAAGTGCTGGGCCCCGTGGTAACCCCATATCTCTAAGGTCCTTTTCAGTTAATTCCTGCAGGACTAATCCTGTCACTTCTTCATTGAACAGAATCTGCCCATATTTCTCATCAATCTCAAGGTCTTTGGTTACCCAGCGTTTCACATGCTCTTTGCTCCAGCTTTTGGTCATTTCAGGTAGATCTACTTGTTCACTCATCACAGCTGCAACTTTCTTCCTTGGAAAAAGTAATACAATAAGTAGTTTAGTGTGATACTTTATCATTAAAGTCACAGAGTCAATTAAATATATAATTTCACATAAACAGCATACATAAAACACTGTTCAAGGTTGATTCTTAAAACTGCTTGGTACTTATTTTAACTATTTTATAGTTCCAGTTAGTGTCATTGTTCCCTAAATGATTATAATTATGATTATGAAATAAACAGTAGCTGCTAACAGGGATGACACATCCCTTTATCCTTATAATAATTTTCCCTTTTAAGCTTAATTTGGTGAACATTGGGGGTTTTTGTATCTCAAAACCAGAATCTTAACTAAACAGAAATCGGTTCCCATCGTTGAACATTGCAAATAAACTTGAAAATACGAATCTGGGTAAGTGGAAGTGGGCTGGAGAACAGGAGATTTAGTCTGCAGCTAGGGAGTTGGCTATTTTTGTCACACAGTTACAAGGCAGTTGGTTGACTCATTGCCCACTATCTTTTGGAAATCAAGCTGTTAGGCCCCCCAAGTCTGGAGCTTTGGGGGATATGGTAGCAAAATGTTAATTGATTTGGTTGCCTAAGTCTTGTGGCCCTCAGAGGTACTATAGAGTTAATTGTAGTTGACACTGGCCTGGCCTGCCTGAAATTAGATAAGGAAAATAATATGACTTTTTAATTTTGTTAAAGCCACTTTAGCTTAAATTATTGATATGAGACTAATGAAGGTCCTACAATTATGTACTTTGTTGAACTGCAAGAGCTGGATATCCTGGAACACCCTAGATTAGGGGTTCTCAACCTTGGCTCACAGTAGAATCACTGGGACTCCACATTCTGAGACTGATTTAATTGATTGAGAGAGTGGAGTTGAGTTCAGGTATTAGTATTTTTAAAATTTGTCTGGAATATTCTATTGTTTAGATCAGGTTGAGAGCAGTTCTCAAAATGTTATCTTTAGATCAGCAGCATTAGCATCACTTGGAAGCTTGCTAGAAATGTAAATGTCCAGCCCCCAACCCAGACCTACTAAATCAGAATTAAAACGATGAATCAATGCTGTTGTTTAAATAAGAGAAAATAGGAAAGTAATAGTATTATAAGGATAAACAGACTAAAAGCATTAAGGATAAAACAAAACAAAATGTTAAATTATAAAGAGAGAAAATACAAACATTTACAAATATTTTTAATTTTTTAAATGAAAGATTTAAGGGACTAAGTTTTTAAAAACTGTAGTGTATAACAAGTCACAAAGCCTAGCCAGCCTGAAAAGTTGCTTGCAAAAGCTTTCCTGTAAGGTCTCCTTGAAGTCAGATATGAAGAATGAGCTAAACTGAGACCTCAGCCTGCAGCCCTGTGAATGGCCAAGAAGAAACCCATGCTAGTTACTTATGGTGTGAATATCTTAGCACGCCACAATCCTTCATTCCACCTATAGGTTTGCAAACACTGGGTGTAGAAGCTTCACTTACCTTGATGAAACTTTTCTTGGTGCCTTTGTGTCTTGGATGCTCTTAGTCACTCTGACTTCAGTCTACAGGACACACCCAGCCCTGAGCAAATTAGCCAAACTTCGAGCAACTAGAATAATGAACATTATGAACATATTTCAGATGATCAATCCTGTTTATTTTCAATGTTCAATGTAGATGGCAGAGGTCTTAGAGGTTCCACAAGAATTAGTGCACATATTGTAACCAGAGATAACTATTATATTACCTTAAATTGTGTTATTTGTTCATTCATTCAACAAATGTTTATTGAGCACCTGTTATACCAAATATTTATTGAGCACCTATTGGGCATCATGGTAAACAAAATCATGGTAAACAAAAGAGATGTGAAGTTCTTTCATAGTACTTGTAGTCCAATGGAGGGGGGGGGGGAATTAAAACACACACACACATTCAAAAAAGTTTTATCACAAATGACCAATTGTGGTAAGTGTTTTGTGTAAGACAGAATAAGGGGCAGAGAATTGGGAGCTGTGAAGAGGAGGGGCGTATTACTAGGAGGAGAGTGGGGACACTGGGCAGGTGAAGTTAAAGGAGGGCTGCTAGAGTAGGATGGGAGACTGGTGGAGGGAGGAAGTCTAGGGGACAGAGTTAAGGGGATAAGAAATAGTATACTGGTAGACTACCGAAGAGCTATCTAGGGCAGCGATTTTTAACCTTTTTTATCTCACGACGCACATAAACTAACTACTAAAATTCTGTGGCACACCAAAAAGTACATTGCATTTTTTGCTGATCTGACAAAAGTTAGATATAATTTTGATTCGTTCACACTGGGTGGCTATTGGGCTATTGCTGTATTGATTGTTGTCAATTTTTTCTTTGACAATCTAAGGGGAAAAGGTTAGTGCCCCTGACTAGCAGGTATTGCATGTTTTAAAAATTCTTGCTGCACACCAGTTGAAAACTGCTGATCTAGTGGGTCTAAGGAGTATTGTGCAGTGGTGCTCCAACAGCAGGCAGTGTCTGTTTCTGCTCCCAGAGCCAGGTACTGGTCCTGGCCTGTAATGCCCTCAGACACTATTTCTGTCATAATTTTTGATGACTCAATAGACAGGAAGATGATCTCAATATATTGACCTTTCACCTTCTTGACTACCTCTCGTCTAATGATCTTGACCTCCATCCATCTCCTCTCCCATGGTGACACTATTGACCTTATCATAATTATGAGTTGAATTGTGACCCCCCCCCC